TGAAAAGTTTAGTCAAATCCATGTTATTACTATGTTTTAGCTTTTTTAAAAGAGGAAAAACAGAATATATATTGTTCTATATGCAATTTGTACGGTTCATTTGCAGGTGAATTGTATTGATGCCTAAACTGTTGTGAGCCAAAGGGACTTTTATGAGTAACTGTAAGAGAATAATGAACTTAAATTAGAGCTCCTGTGGTTCGTGTGACTGTTTCTGCTGCAACATCAGGTGTTTGCAGCTTAGTAGGTCTAGGTGGGAAAAGGATTAAGCATTTGAAACTTAGCTCATTGAAAAAATCAAGTAATAGTCAGCTCATGTCTTCTGGTTTGGGTATGTGCACACGACTCATTCACTAATTTTCTATTTTCGTTGTTTTATGGCACACTGTTTAAATAACCATTTTTATCTGAAGCTTTTTCAAAAGGACATGACTTTTCCATTACAAACTGTTTACCTGATAAAGGACAAATACAGAGAAGTATGCAGACTTTTGATGTTTCATCTGTTTTCACAAATTGGAGAGTTATGAAATCAAAAATATGATTTTTATTGTATTTGATACGTGCACTAAAACAGGCTTATTTCAAACTAAATAAACCTAAACTAAACAAACATTTCACAGTAGAACATCACCTCACATGGGCCCATTTATGCTGATATATCTCATCAAAATTTGGATCGAAGCTTTTCAAATGAACATAAGAGTAAAAAGCTTGATATAAATTTCTGTTATACCTCAGCAACTGTCAATAGTTGCTTGTTAATTGAACTTAGTAAAGGGTTGTTTTCCTTAAATCTCTCTCATTCCCAGTTCATTCAGGACAGTGTATATATTTTTTTGTATGTATTTGCTGAAATCGTGAGTGTTGTTCTTGGAAACCCAAACTGTGGACAAAGCTGTTCCCATTAGCATGTCAAAGCTAAGTGGAGCGTGCAGCATAGAATCGGACCGCATGAGGTCAGTCTGAACACGGGAATATTATATCTGACAGGATTACATGTTTGCTTGATGACCTCACAAGGCCAAAATCTGATGTAATTAAAAACCGAGAGGAAAATTGCATGTTTTGCTCAACGGGGACTGTAAGCCTCCTGTGTGGTGCGACTTAAAGACACGGACATCTGAAACACATTTTTAAAAAATCCATCAGCCAAGTCAAACAACGTTTTCTGTTCACCTTACCAAACCACCCACACACACACAACACACACACAACACACCCTCCGCAGCACACTGCTGCCTTACTTTTATCATAATTTGAGATCGTGTAAGTACTCCACTTTGACTTTTTCTCCAAATGGTAATGCCTGGTCATCCAGACCAGTTAGGATCCCTTTGGACCTTTATCCCACTTCATCTTTACAAGGAGCTGGAACTCCACGAGCGTGGGGTTGTGTCGGGTCAAATAGGTAATGATAAACCATCATGAAACTA